ATTTATTGATCATTTATCTTTTCCAGTCATCTATCCATCTTATTTTCTGAGGTATATCAAAATTAACTCATAGTATTTCTCTTATTTTTAAAAATACAATAAAACATTATCATCATTGACTATAAAGACTTAGCAGCTAAATAAATTGGGGATGGAGTTATGTGCTATCAGTACCAGAAAGGGAAGATGAAAATGATTTAGGTGTTCTCTTGGTAGACACAAAAGAAAGAGCTCAGGAACTGCTCTCTGCACGTAGAAAGAGAAGAAAAGCCACAATTTGTCAGGTGTTCTAGGCAGAGTAATAGCCACTAAAAATCTGAAAAGTATTGGTGGAGGATGGGAAGAAAGGAGAAAGAAAAAATGGGGTTAAAAAAGGGAAATATCCAAAGGATTCATCTCTTTGATATGACCTACAAAGCAGTGGCCTTGGATGAAGGAATATAATTTTCCAAAAACAACAATATCTAGCAACACAAGGCCACTGCCCCAGAAACTACAAAATGGGAATAACTTTATATATATCCTCTGATCCCTTCTCTTCTCCACCTAATTCCACCTAAAATATTAAGATTTTTTTAAGCCCTCAGTTTAAAATAGTTCCTAGCCTTATTACTTCAATTCTCAACAAAGTCTCTGAGTCTAAAATAGACTTATCCATGGAGGGTCCAAATTGCATTATAGTTTCATAGATCTTTAGAGCTGGAAAAGATCTGTTGAATCTTCCAGATCAACTTTTTAAAATTTTTTTTAGTTGTAGATGGACACAATACCTTTATTTATTTTTATATGGTGCTGAGGATCTAACCCAGAGCCTCACACATGCAAGGCAAGCACTCTACCACTGAGTCACAACGGCAGCCCCCAGATCAACTTTTAATCAAACCACTCTCCTGACTCCAAAACCATGTTTCTTTCCATCTCTTAAGTATGATTGGCTGGACTTTTTCCAATATCATCAGCTCCAACTTAAAAAATCTGGATCCACACTGAACAGATCCTTCTCAAAAGAAATATGAATGATCAACAAATATGTAAAAAAATGTTCAACTTCTCCAGAAATTATAGAAATACAAATTAAAACTACACTGAGATTCCACCTCACTCCAGGCAAAATGGCAATTATCAAGAATACAAATAAAAATAAATGTTGGTGAGAATATGGGGAAAACGGAATGCTCATACATTGCTGGTGGGACTGCAAATTGTTGCAAGCACTCTGGAAAGCAGTATGGAGATTCCTCAAAAAACTAGGAGTGGAACCACCATTTGACCTAGTTTTCTCACTCCTTGACATATACCCCAATGATTTAAAATCAGCATACTACAGTGACACAGCCACATCAGTGTTTATTGCAGTAAAATTCAGAATAGCTAAGCTATGAAACCAACCTAGATGCCTGTCAACTGATTAAAGGTTAAAGAAATTGTGGTATTTATACCCAATGGAATTTACTCACCCATAAAGAATAGTGACTTTATGACATTTTCCAGTAAATGGATGGATCTGGAGACTATCATGATATATGAACTAAGCCAATCCCAAAAAACCAAAGGTTGAATGTTTTCAATGATTTGTGGAAGCTAAATCACAATAAAAGGCTAGGAGTGGTAGAAGAGAAGTTCAGTAAATTAGACAAAAGGAAACAAAAGTAAGAGAAGGGGAATAGGAATAGGAAAGACAGTAGAATGAATCTAACATAATTTTCCTATGTACACATAACAAAATGCCTAAATGAATATCACTATCATGCCCACCCATAAGAATGGGATCCTAATTAGAATAAAATATATCCTATGCTTGTATAATTTTATCAGAATGGATTCTACCCTCTTGTATAACTAAGAGGAACTAATAAAATAAAATTAAAATAAAGAATCTGGATCCATTCTTGAACCCATTGGGAGTCTCAAACTCTTTTTCTTAATGAGTTACAAGATCTAAGAGATTCCCTTTCTCTTCCCTTCCCCCAATCTCTGTCCATCAGCCTCAGAGAGGCAATGAGGATAACACTCAATCCACTGACCAGTCACCCTTTTTCCCAGCAAAAGACCAGATCCATGCCCAGTTCCCCAGCAGCTATCTCAAAGATGGACTACTACACTCTATCATGTTTCTTCTCCATTGACATTGGTAGGGACTGTCTACCATCAGCAAGTCATTTGCTTAAGTTGTCCTTGAATGCCTGAAAATTGGCAGATTAAAAATGGAAACTGGGTAAAACATAATTCATTATATGAAGCTCTTAAGTCTCATGACTATTTGTCCTACAACAACTCCCAGACAATTCAGGCATGGTTGCTATTGTCTTTTAAGAAAAAAAGTCCAGAATACCTGGGCGTAGTATTCAAAGGCCTCCTTTGCAACCTTGATCTCTATATTACCTGGTTGGTTCAGTAGTTACATGAGTCATTAGGTGCCCCTGGTGTGTCCAGTCATTAGGTGCCTCCTTGCCTCCATGAATGCACACATTATTCATTTGCCCAGGAAAGCTCTGCCTCAGTCTCTGCATTCAGCATTGTTAGTGTAAATATTACCAAGAATCCTTCATGGCCAACCATTAATATATCTTGAGGACCCACCCAAACCGGAAATACTTATTAAATATTAGGAGGCCTTAAAGTTGCAGGCCTCACCAGGTGGGCTGAGCCACCTAGGTGGCAATGAGAGATTAGAACACATGGCTACCAAACTACTAGTCTAGCATATTTTTTACTGTTCTGCAAGGCTCCTGCCTTTTCTGTACCCCTAATGCACTCTGTCTTTCTGCCTGACAATATGATCAGTATATTTACTTTTCCCAAAACAGACTTGAAGCCCTCAAAGAGCAGAAGCTTATTTTACTACTCCTCTCTGCACTCTTGTCCAATTGCTCGGCATAATACATCCCACCAGCAGATACTCCATATTTTTGTGCCACAAGCCAAGTTACCTTGGCAGTGAACAGAAAGCCATGCAGCTACCATAGGAAAATGCAGGCAACTTCAAAGTGGTCCCTTAATTTTTACCATTCAGAACCTTGGCTGTTCAGAAAAACCGTAGTCATTGAAAGCCTATCTCAAGTGGATAGATATTAGAGTGACAGTTTAGCCCATGAAAGAAGGTAGCAAGATTGCACTGCTCCTGAAGGTGGCCCATCTTCAATACATTATGGAGTTTTGATCCTATAACTCCCCCAAATGTTTGTGTGCAAGACATCCAACCCCATTTGTTTTTATTTTTGCTGATCATTTGACATTGGTAGACACTGTCAAGCGGAATCTTTGAGATAGCCAAGAAAATTCTAATTTTCTGACTTTACAGATAGAGTAGTTGGGGCATAGAAAGGTGCTGAGACTTCCCTAATGTCACATTACCTGTAAGTGACAACCTCTCAATTCCTTTGGGCAAGCCTCTTTCAGCTCCAACAAATCGTCTTAACATGAGATATGGAATAACTGCAGCCTCCCTGAATAGTTTCTCCTTTCACAAAGCAGGGGTCTTATTTTTCTGTTTTAAACATCCTGTTTTTTGACCACCAGGCATCCCCCCACTCACACACACACACACACACACACACACACACATTACACATGTCCTCTTCATGTCAAAGGAAGGTGGCTCCAGCTGCCCACACTGAAACAATCTGGACTTTCAAAAGCTCAGATATCCCTCTAGGTGTTCAGTTGAACAATTATTCTAGAGTTAAATGTGCATTTCAGCCAACCTAGTAGTTATCCTGAGAAGCAGCTTTTGTAAGCTGCCTAAGTGTAATCATTTCTTGCCAAGCCTGAGCCTTAAACACATGGAATAATGAATACAGAATGCATACAGTGAGCAGTCTGGACCAGAGATCCCAGAGTCTCAGGCTTTCTCCATGGGGGGGGGGAACACATGACTGATCCCTTAATTTATGATTTTTGTTTGTTTGTTTGTTTATGGCCATACTAGGAATGTTACTTAGGGACTTAAGTATGCTGGGCAAGCATCCTACCATTGAATTAATCCCCCAGCCCCTTAATCCACCTCTTACTCACATAACACAAATTCCCACATGAGGTCTGAATATCATCTATAATATGGAAGCCAGGTGGTTATTTAACATCTTTCTTGCTTAAGAGCCTTTAATGACCTGGGCGCCACTACCTCCCTGCCATTTTATCATTGAACAGATGGTAATTGGTAAGTGAGATAATTTATGCTGAGTACTCAGTAAAGTGTCCAACACATAGTAAAAGCACTCCTCCTCCTTCTCTATTAGAAAGTGCTTTCTTACAGTAATCCTTCCCCTGGTACCCATCCTGTTGAATTCTGAACCATCCCAATTCTCCTTCCTGATACCACACAGAACAAACAATACTTTCTCATAGCTTTGCAGATATCTGAAGAGAGCTCCTCTGTCCCCCTCCCTTCTCTCACCTTGATACACTGCAAAATTGCCCTCCAGCACACCTAATTCATCTTTCTAAATAGAGGCAGCTTAGATATGGTCTTTCTTGCCACAAAATCATAACATTTATTACTGGAAGATGATACTTGTGCCCTTCCCTAGAGAGTTGGCCTAACAGAGGTGAACTCACCCTGTGGCACCCAGCCTCCTCCTTGCACTCCGAGAAGTAGCTCAATACCTTGGCACAACATTGAAGTTTCCTGCAGCCTGAGGTCCTGGATCTCAGAGAAACCAATGGCTTTTTGCTGCCAGGGGCAGCTTACCCATCCCTGCCCTGAATTCCTCAACCATCTCCTCCTTTCTTCCTCAATTCCCTACTCCATCCCCTAAAATCCTAAATCCCATATCCATAAACTGGGTTGGTGACCCATGCAAAATGGCTGTTGGGCCGAGTTGTGGCAGGCTGGCGTCCACGCTCACTGCTCTACCCTGGCGTGTCCCAGCCATCCCTGTCAGGGTTCCCTAGTAGCTGTGGTCTCTACCAATTTCCAGGAGCTGATGGCAAAATCGTGCCCTTCCTCTGCCGGTGTACGCATGAAGTCAGCAGAGAACCGGCAGCTTGTTCGCAGTTACCTTGCTAGAAGCGAAGAAGGAGCAGTAGCGCTCCGTCGGACCACTGGACCAGCTAGTGGGTGAGTCCGCACCACAGTTGTGTTCGCTCCACCACGCTATGCCACGGGGTGGTCAAAGTGGCGGGGCTGCAAGCAGGCGACAGTCCTGTTTGCCCAGAACCGGACAGAGCCACTGACGACGGGGCGCCTGGCTAGCGGGCTAGCTGGAGGCTTCTGGCGTGGTGGCGGCTTCAGAGGGAGTCCCACTGTGACGAAGCACGGCTGTTCTCTGCCTCAGCAGCCCTCCTAGCAAGAGAGCCTCTGCGCGGTTTAGATGGTCCCTAGCCCCCTGCCGAGCCCCTCGGGAGGCGAGGGCTCGTCGCCTCCCGGGGCAGGTTTATGAGCGCGCCTGGGAGCGCTCGCGGAGGTTCACGAGGCGCCAACTAGGGACCAAGGAGGCCTTCATTGGACTGAGCCGCTCCCGGCCGCTGCTCCTCGCCAGCGACTGGCCGTCGGGGCGGCGGATTCTGCGGGTCACAATTGGCGGAAGATGGAGCCACAGAGGCGAACGCCAGGGGGAGGGGAGGGGCCACAACTCTGAAGTTGGGGTCGGAACACTGCAGCCAGCCAGTAGGAGGCTGGCTGGAGGCCAATACACGGTCCTTTCCGCGCTCCCCAGAGGCGGTCTCAGGCGACCTTGCCACTCCCGAGAAGGTAGGAGCTGTGGCGCCCAAGTCAGGGTGCACACATTGCGAAGGAGAGCCAATCCAGCCGCTAACTAAGCACCCTCCGCACCCCGCTGCCTACTGCGGTCGTGCAGTCCGCCTCGGTCCACCAAGCTCGGAATTGTAACCCAAACATTTCCTCAGCATAATTATTGAGCGGGTAGGAGTAAATGGCAGCGAGCAGTGATGAGGTGGTAAATGCAAATGGGTCCACCTCTTTGCAAGCTGCGAAGAGAGGCCACCTGCACCCGCTACCCAAGCTCCCGGCAGAGCGCGACACCCTCCTGGAAAGCCTCCTCACACTCCTAGGAAGCGGGGCAGGCTTGCCGGGGACTGGAAGGTGAGGGCGCAATCAACTGTCCTCAATCATTTTCCCGGATCTGTTCAATGGACTTATCGGTTTCTCTGCAGCGATTGCAATACCTCCAGGAGGGCAGAGTCCCTACATATTAATCATAGTGTGCAGTTTTAAAGACCTTTTTTTTAAAAAAAATAGCGCTATAATCTTAGGATTCAAATCAACAAGCCTGGGGCAGTTGAGAAAAGAGCCAGCTGGCGTTCTGTGGGCCCTGCAACTTGAATGGGTGCTTTCCCTACCTCCTTCAAGGTATGTACTAGAACTAGGAAGGTCTGCTTCCTCCGGGTCATGCCTCTTGACTGGAAAACCCCGCATTTGAGCCCTGCTCCTGCTCTGTAAGGGAAAGCCACTGACTTTAGAATTTTCCAGGAAGTCTTAATGGACACACCCCTGTTTTAAAATAGATTAGGATAATCAACCTGGCAATTATGCTAATAAAACTGTATAATATGCGGTGGTGGGGGACAGCCACACAAATCACTCCCACACTTTTTAAAATACCAGTGCAATGGAGGCAGCTGTGTGAGGCAGCACTCCCCTAGTTAAGACTTCCTCAAAATTCTTCCTAAAGACAAAAATGTAAGACTTCACTACCGGTGAATGGACCTGAACAAGTTTATCCTGTAATGTTGCCAAGGAGATGCCACTTAGGTCCTGGCTTGCAGAACAGACTGTCAGTCTCATGGGAAGTCAGGACTGGGGCTTCCCTTACATCTCATTCTGTTTTCTCTTTTCCCACCCCTCACTGCCTCCTCCTGCTCCTAGTCTTCCTGGCAGAGTATGTAATATCTAATGGAAGGACTGAGAGGACCTAGAGGACTCAAAACTGGTAGAGAAACCTTGAGCATGTAGCTTCACCACCATGGAGTTTCAGTATTTCTCATATATAAAATGTACATAAAAGAAGAACACCTGTACAATATTTCAGAAAGGTTTCAATGTGTTCATCTATGCCTGACCCATAATAGGGGCTCTGTAATCTTTGTTCCCTTCCCCAAATTAAAGAAAGATAGTGAATCCCAGATGCCCTATTGTCATGCATGGTCCATTACCCTTGTGGGAGGCAGAACCAGATTACTGGTGGTTAACCAGATTTAGGGAAAGGGTCTGGCCTATTTACTCTTTCCACAGGACTTATCATGGTGAGCCTAGACTGGAGGCTTACAAAACTAGGGACAGTTTTTCCCACATGCTATATATAGTGGCAGGCACCATATTGACCATATTCAACAAGAAAACATATTTGATTGCTATAATTATTTCTTTTCATCATAATCACCATGATAACAACAACAATAATAACATCAGTGCTGAATAACAGCCTTTGCAAGAGGGAGGAGACAGCAACAAATTGAACCTTTCTAGGCTCTGCCCATATGGAAATCTAAACCTTGAAATCTTAATCACAAGAGGTTATCTCATCCAGCTGTTTGCTTCCCAACAGGTCCTCAACATAAAGATTAATCTTGTCTTTCAAACTTCCCCAGGAGAGATAACCATTTGAGAAGTAAACAAATATTCATTAGACCGTAGCCTCAGCCCTACTTTTATACTTTGATGATGGATGAAGAAAACCTGCATCAGTGATGGTGAGGGTAGAAGTAGGTACAGAAAATGAAACTCAAGAAATAATAGCACTTGGAGCAGATCATCAGTACATTTTAATTTTATTGAAAGTAGATGACACATCCCCATGTACATGCAGATATATGTATCTCTATACCTCTGTTCTGGTATTGGTTACTTCAGTCACCTTATACAGAGTACCTCACAGGATGTGTTCTCACATTACCAACTTTCTATGGTTCCATTTTCTATCCAGTAGAACAGAAATCCTAAGGAAAGAAAAATAGTGCACCAATGTTTGGTTTCCTAAAACACCTACCTCATAGGGATATGTTTCAGCAAAAGTCTACAATGGTTTTCCATTGCTTCATAAATAAAGTCTCAAATGTTGAGCATTGCATTTCAGACTCCTATGATCTTCATATACAGAGAATAGGTTCTTTGTAGATACTCACTAAATCAATACACAAAATGAATCCAAACCTTTCCATATTAAATATGTTTTCATGTACAATATGACAGTTCCTCACAATGTTAAACATGGAGTTACAACCTGAAATTTCACTCCTAGTTTTATAAAAGCAGTTTTTACTCTAAGGGAAAAACAGAAACAAATAAAATGCCCCTTTACTGATGAATTAGTACAAATATATGGTGTCTCTCTTCAGTAGAATAATATTCAGTCATAAAAAGGAATTAAATAGGGGGCTGGGGTTGTGGCTCAGCGATGGAGCGCTCATCTCGCATGCGCAGGGCCCGGGTTCGATCCTCAGCACCACGTTAAAAAATAAATGAGTGAAATAAAGGTATTGTGTCCAACTATAAAAAAATAAATATTAAAAAAGGGAATTAAATACTGATACATGTTATAGCATGAATGAATCCTAAAAACATTGTGGTATATGAATGATGTCAGACACAAAATGCCACATATTTCTTACTTACATTGATATGAATTACCTAGAAAAGGCAAATCTATTCAGACAAAATGCCTGGGGCTAGAAGGAAAAGGGAATGGAGAGTGACTGCTAATGGTTATGGAGTTTCTTTTTAGGGTGATGGAAATGTTTTGGAAGTTGATAATGGTAATAGTTGTACAATTTCAAATATACTAAAACACACTAAATTTATACTTTTAAAAGTGCAAATTTTATGATATGTGCATTCTATTTCAGTAGAGATTTTTTAAAAAATAGTAGGTATAAATATAACTGGCCATCTGAGGAAACCAGAATTATAAGAAGGGTCTCCATTTTACTAATAAATCTTACAGTCTGATTTATTTTTGGCTTGGCCCATTTTTTTGGCCTGATCCTAACCTGATTATGACCATCTATATAGTGGAATTCCTATAACTCAGCCAAATGTTTCTCCATACGCTCTCAGCTCCTCATTTTCTTGGAAGTAGACTAGGGAGTATTAATTGCAGAAAAGAAATGCAAGGCCTCTTCTGGACTTTCCTCCCTGAAAGGAATTACAGGCCTGTGACTCAGGCTTATACTAGCCAGTATCATGTGTCTGATAGCCAGACTCTTATCTAGAAACCTCTGACATTCCCGAACAGCAGCCTGTTCTGCTAGCCAAAGCCCAAGCTGTTTCTCCTAATTCATTCATCAGTATCTTTATGCAGGGCCATGCTTGAAAGTCATGCTGCATTCTGCCAAGATGATGCAGAGAAGGGCCATGCTGCAGTCTGTCTGTGGTGGGGGATGGGAAATGGGGAAGGGGTGGAGGGCTAACAGGAGGGAGGCTCCACAGAAGGGCTTGGAAGAAATCATTGTCAGTTTGAAGCCACTGGCATGAAGAGGGAGGATGGGAAAGAAGGATGCAACTATAACATATCTTCTTTTGCTTATGGTGACTAGAGAATCTTGGACTAGGCCCAATATCTCATGTAAGTTCATGCGCAAAAACATAAGCACCCAACAAATGCCTTTGATAATATTGACCAATTTCTCCCCTCTTTCCCCTCTCTTCCCTCCAGGGTCACTGCACTTTCCTTGACCCTAAGAAGACTATGGAATTGGCGTCTGGGACATGAGTAGTGCATTTGTTACCTGAAGAATAGATTTACACCTGTACCTTCCATTCAAGGCTGACCCTCATTGAAACAGATGCATGGTATTTTAGCCTCCCTGGTTAAGCATAATTGGAGCAGTCCACACTCCATGAAACTCCAATCTCCACCTTCTGTAATTAGATACATTTACCTGTGCAGTCAGGTCACACATTTCTCCTGCAAACAGCTATATAGGATACTAGCTTGCTTCAAAATCTTAAAGGACATTATTTTGTGTTAAGAATCTTGGCTTAGGTGCCTAGAGAATTGAGTTCTAGTATTGGCTTTGTTGCTGAATGGTAAAAGACTTTGGGAACATCAGTTTCTTTGTTTGGACTTGAGTTTCCCTATACACTCTAAAATAAGAAAGCAAAGCAAGGCCATTTCAAAACATTCTTCCAAGTATAAAGTACTTTGAGTTGGAGAAGAAATTTTCAGTAGGAATGATAAAGGTGAGATATTATGAATTATTTTCCCAAAACATTTAAATTGTCATTGAGAAAGGTGTTTTAGTAATGGAGAGAGCTGTTTCCAGATCTGTTTCCATGGGAATGGACTGCTGAGGGTATTTTACAAATTTGTCATAAAACAAATGACTTAGCTGCATAAATAGCATCCTCAGTTATAATTTAGGGCAGAAAGGCTTGTGTGCAAGTGGTTGAATAGGTTGGGGTAGGTAAGGGAAGAGGAAATGGTTCTATACTCCAGTTCTCCAGAGAGAACTCAATGAGGGCCTGTCAACTCTTTTTGTG